TCCCATCAATCCCTTTATGTCTTAATGTATCCTCATATAAATATCCTCATCTGTACTAAGCATTCAGATTTTTAATAATCGGAAGTACTTCTAAGGCTGCAAGTAATAAATCTAAAACATGTATCATTACTACTGAATTGACATAAGGCACCCTCCTACCTACTACTTGCAAATAAAGTTGTTGAAGGGCTTATTTTTAAAGTTAGGAGGTATACACAAAACTTCCAATTCTAAGCCTAACTTCAACTCACTTAGTACTAGACTACTTTTGAGCATTTGAAGACTACATTAAAGGACCAAGAAAATAATACAGATGCTCACCCTGGCCGGTTTTCTCAGTGGTTAGAGGACTGGCCTGCACACCAAAGGGTCTTGGGTTTGATTGCCAGTCAAGGGCACATTCCTCAGTTCCTCAGTTGCAGGCTTGGTCCCTATCTGGTGTGTGTGTGAAGCAACCAATGGAAACATCAATGGTTCTCTCTCTCTTTCTCCCTTCCCCTTTCCCCCCTCACTTCCGCTATCTAAAAGCAATAAAAAAAATATTGGCAGGAATTCAAAGAACCTGCCACTTTGGGATCTAATTGAACAGAATATTGCTTATCATTATAGGGGGGAAAACAGTCTTTACCAATTTAATCTCAATAATGTCCAACTACAAAAATCAAAACTGCCTACTTTACTAAAGCAAATCTTTCAATAACACCAGCTAAACTAAATATAACTGCATCCATATAGGGACATTTAGTTTATCTAAATACCATTAATTTCATATTCAGTTAGCCTATCTATAGGGAAAATACGAATACCTAGAAATAAATAGGAGTTAAAACCCGCATTTTAAAAGGCCTGCAGTTCTCTATAACAAAAATCACACAAACCCACCAACTAAACACCTAATGAAACAACTTATCCCAGAATCTTTTGCAAGTTATGGGAGATAACATAACCAGATATCCTCTCAGCCTCACACAATGACCACCAGTACAAAATACTTAGGTAGATTTTCCCAGTAATGGTCTCTAAAAAGGGCAGATGGCACAGAAAATAACACTAAAAACACATTAACTCCCCTGGCAGAATTTAACTTATAATTAACCACATCTTAAGAAACTGAACATATTTTTTCCCTTGACTTTCCTAAAAACATACAGCTCCTGGTTAACTTATTAAATTGATTTGAGAGAGAGGGAGGAAGGGAAAGAGAAATATCGCTTTGTTGTTCCACTCATCCATGTATTTATTGGTTGCTTCTTCTATGTGCCCTGACCAGGAATACCGCCTTGGTATATCAGGTCAAAACTCTAATCAAATGAGCTACCTAACCAGGGCTAGTTAACTTGTATTTACTTCCAAAGAGCAGTGCTGAAGAAAAGTGAAGAGAGATCATTTTACCTGCCAAGATTTCTACTTCTAAACTCTTATAAGGCAATTCTACTTGCTCCCATTTTTTTAAAGGAAGAAAAACAGAAAAAGGACATGTGTTTATGTCATTAAATGTCTTCCATTTGCAGATAAGGAAAGATATGCAGACTGAATAACTTGCTTAAGTCATATAAATAGCTTTGTTATTCATCTCTGAGCCAGTGATTCTTCCAGGGAGAACATGCTAATTACCACATCCCCCTGTATATGCTGCTCTGACCCGGCAGTTGGTACATGGCTGCCTAAATGAGTCAGTAAAAATGGAAATGTGCCCTGGCCACTGTGGCTCAGTGGTTGAGCATATTACCTAATAATAGACAAACATGTAAATTGACCGTTCCTCTGCTGCACTCACCAGCCAATCAGGAGAGTATGCAAATTAACCCAACAGAAATGGCGGTTAATTTGCATACGTAGGCGAGAAGCGGCGGAGCGAAGTCTGAAGGCTCCAGCCAGAGGAGCAAAGGCCTGGGTCCTGGGTGCCGGAGGAAAACCGGTGCTGGCAGCCAGGGGAAGAGAAGACCTATTGCACAAATCTCTTTGTGCAACGGGCCTCTAGTCAGTCGATAAACCAAGAGTTCGATTCCAGGTCAGGGCATGTGTCTGGATTGCTGGCTCAATCCCCAATGAGGGGCATGCAGGAGGCAGCCTACCAATCTCTCTCTCCCTTCCTCTCTAAAATCAATAAAAACATTTTTTAAAAAAGGAAATGTAGCTCTTCCCACCCACCCATGCACCCCCACCTTCCCTCTGAGATTCGACAGTCTGCTCCATGCTTCTATGTTTCTGGATGTATTTTGTTCAACAGTTTATTTTGTTACTTAGATTCCACACATGAGTGAAATTATGTGATACTTGTCTTTCTCTGACTGGTTTATTTTGCTTAGCGTAATACTCTCCAAGTCCCTCCATCCCATCTCAAAGGGTAAGAGATTCTTCTTTGTTACTGCTGCATAGTATTCCATGGTGTAAATGTACCACAGCTTTTTTATCCACTCATCTATTGATGGGCACTTGGGCTGTTTCCAGACCTTTGCTATTGTAAATCATGCTGCTATGAACATAAGAGGTGCATAAAACAACAATGAGTTATCAACTCACAGTTGTCAGAATAGCTACCATCAACAAATCAACAAATGACAATGCTGGCAAGGATGCAGAGAAAAGGGAAGGTGGGAATGCAGATTGGAGCAGCCATTATGGAGTTTCTTCTAAAAATTTAAATATGGAATTGCCATTTGACCCAGTAACCCCACTTCTGATTTACATTTTAAATAAACCTTGGTGGCTGTGTGGGGATTGAATTGCAGAGCAGCAAGAAAGCAAGCCTAGTGATCCTGTTGGCTGCCCCAACAAGAGTTCGTGTGGGAGATGAGGGGTTCAGTGTGATGGAGTTGGTACAGGATGATGGAGGAAAGTCTATAGTTTGGGAATTCGTTTTGAAGATGAGGGAAAGGCAGAAATGAAGAATGGCACCTATAATTTGGGTGCCATGCTGAGATAGAGAATGTGAAGAAAGACCAGATTGGGGGTGGAGGGACAGATTAAGAGCTCTGCTTTGAACATGTTAAATTTAAGTCACTTAGTCAATATCTTGGCAGTAGAGAGTTGAATACATGCATTTGGAGCATGGAGGTTCAAAGTTAGGGCCCTCAATATAAGTCTGAAAGTCAATATATGGAAGACATTTCCAACCAAGAGACTGGATGAGCACACATAGAGTGAGGGTGCAGTAGAGAAAAGAAAATGTTGAAACTAGAACTTTCCATTCCATGAATGTCTGTGTCACTCAACAATGAGAACAGAGAGCACAGTTAATGCAGTAAGAGCAGCTGCAGTTTCTAGAAGGCAGGAGCAACTGCACTGTGTGCTGCGGAAATTTGGGGTATGATTGGATTTTCAAAATACTTCTTTTAAAAAATATATGTATTTTTTATTGATTTCAGAGAGGAAGAGAGAGGAAGGGAGGGAGGGAGGGAGGGAGAGGGAGAGGGAGAGAGAGAGAAAGAGAGAGAGAGAGAGAGAGAGAGAGAGAGAGAGAGAAACATCAATGAGTGTGACACATTGATCGGCTGCCTCCTGCACACCCCTTACTGTAGATTGAGCCCACAACCCAGGCATGTGCCCTGACCGGGAATTGAACCAGGGACCTCTTGGTCCATGAGATGACACCCAACCACTGGGTCACACCAGCCAAGTTCAAAATACTTCCTTTAAGTAAAATGTTAAAGTACCTCAAAATGATGGTTAGCTACGTTCAGTAAATGTTTGTTGATTGAATGGATGAATAGAAGAATGTATAGATGAATACAGAAAAGGCAAAAATTATGGGTCCAACTCTTGGTTCTGTCAGTGACTAACTGCTTAGACTTGGGTTCACTTAAGATGTGAACTCTTGCCCTAACCGGTTTGGCTCAGTGGATAGAGCGTCAGCCTGCGGACTGAAGGGTCCCAGGTTCGATTCCGGTCAGGGGCATGTGCCTTGGTTGCGGGCACCTACCCAGTGGGGAGTGTGCAAGGAGGCAGCTGAATCAATGTTTCTAACTCTCTATCCCTCTCCCTTCCTCTCTGTAAAAAAATCAATAAAATATATTTTTTTAAAAAAGGAAATGTAGCCCTAGCTGGTTTGGCTCAGAGGATAGAGCATCAGCCTGCGGACTGAAAGGTCCTGGGTTCAATTCCAGACAAGGGCATACGCCCTGTGTGGGCTCGATCCCCAGTAGGGGGTGTGCAGGAGGCATCGTTGATATTTCTATCTTCCCCTCTCCCTTCCTCTCTGAAATCAATAAAAAAAATTTTTTTAAAGCAGATGTACATGAAACTAACATTATATGTCAACAAAGATTGGAAAATAAATCAACTAAAAAAATTTTTTTAATGGGAACGAGCAGTATATATTAGGTGTGTGCATGCATGCATGCATGGGTATGCATTTTCTTGGGGGTGGGATGAGGGATGAAGGGTGGAAGACTGAAACCTACTGTTCTTAAAAGTACTGAGGTTGTAAACTTCATTAAACCTCAGTTGCTTTGTGGATTTAAATAAATCTATGCCATAAATCAAATTTTTAAGACACAAGCCATATCCTAAGAAAATTAGCATGATACTTGAAAGATATCTGGTTCCTTTTTAACATGGGCTACGAAAAGTACAGCCTCTGAGGAGCCTGGTCCCTACAATGCTAACTGTGCTTACCATTGTAATTTGTCTAAATTATTTTCTAGTTACCATTCAGCACCCATTATTCATACTAATTTTAAGCAAACTACAACTATCAAATAAGCTCACTAATAAAGAAGTATATGATGTAAAAAGCAAAGGAGCGGGAACATCTGTTCAAAAAAATTATTTAAAGAACTTAAGTTGGAAAAGTGAACATTTCTTCTAAACTTGAACTGTACTATTTCCAAACACCCTGAATTAGTTTTTCAGCTGTTTATCCACATTACAATCACCTAAGTTCTAAAATTCTTAAAGACTCTCATAGCAACTTATAAAATTCACCCTTCATACAACAGCTAATAAATATATATTACATTGACCAATAAGAATCTTTGTATAGGAAACAAATGAGTTACCTTTAGTGTGATATACAATAGCAGCCCTCAGGTCAAAAGAACCCCAGCTATCATTCCTTTCTAGGCCTCTCTGGTATCTCTGTTCTTTGGCGGAGCCTAACAAAGTGTTCGTAGGAGACGCCAGAGGATTTTGATTTTCTACCTCGTAGTCCTTTGAGAGAAACACTAAAGCACCTTGACTACTGGTGTCTGCTTTTTGCAGGTCACCTATATGACTGGGCTCCAAGGATAAGGCTCCACTCTCATTAGTAGTCCCAGATTTTAGAATGCTGCCCAGAACTTGAGGACTAGTCCGTTTTTCCAGCTCATAAGCCTTGGGAAACACAGGATGCTCAGTTCCTGAGGGGATTATTTCAGCACCCTGTGAAACCAAAGTGGCAGGATATTCCCCTTGAAATGTCACCTCCATCACTTTATGATCTGATGACTTCCCAGTAACAGTCTCAGGGCCAGCACTGGGCTCATTTATAAATGATAAACCCCACTGATTCTGGAAGATATCCCCCAGGTTTTGCTGATCAGTCTGAGAGGGTAGATCCACTTGAGCTGTGCTCACCAGCACAGTTTGCATATTTGAAGGGTAGATAAAAAGGCTAGTTGTAATTTGTTCAACAGCTGCTGAAGTCAGACTCTTGTCCTGGAGAACTGGATCAATCGCAGCAGAGATGAGTGTCATACTATTAGCAGCAGTAGTTAGCAGTGGCTGACCCCCTGGAGAATACACACTTGCATCAGTTCCTGCTAAAACAGGCCCATTAGAAAAGTTGGCAGAAGTAACAGATTTCAGCGCTGACATAGGAACCTGGGATAACCGACTTGAAGATTGGGTCTGATTTTCCCCAGCAGATGATGAAGAGGATGAAGATGAAGATGGTGACACAGAAGAGTTCTGTACAGTTTTGTTGAGGTTTTCCTTAACTTTACTTGCATAACTTATTTTAGGAACTATTTTAGCACTGCTATTGTCCACTGGAAAAACTGGGGGTGGTTTAAATAGGGTCCACGAGTCCTCTTTGGAGGCAACAGCAGAAGCATGCTTTCCTTTAGGCCGATCATCAAACTTTTTGCTGCTCACACCAGGTTTAATATCAGAACTTTTCCGCAGCATATCACCCACAGCAGGTTTTCCTCGACTCATTCCTCCAGGCCCAGTTTCATACTTCCAAATGGGCTTAGAACCATCTACTCGATTTCCCTTTTGTTCACTGTAGTCAGGCTTGAAAGTTTCAAGTCCCTGTTTTAAAGTTGGGACACTAGTCTCTTGTTGCATTATTTTGTCCTGCACTAAATTAAGGTTTTCACAACCCTTGGCACTGTTGCGCCTAGCTTTCCTTTTTTTAGGAGTGGTATATCCGCTCTCAGATCCACTACCATCGTTATCTGCTCCTTTGCCCATATAACCATTAGTAATATAGCCAGAATTATTTGTTACAACACCATTTGGAATTGTTATAGTATCACTCTTATCTACAGACTGGTTCTCTCCAGATTTACTTTCATATGACTTGCCATTCTTTTTGTCCATACTGTTTTTCTGAATGAAATTCCTAGTTTTAATTCCTGCTTTCCCAAAGGTGCTGGACTTTATAGTCGGCTTCAGGTTAGTGTCTACAATTTGTTGGTTGCCATTGAGGACCCTGGAAATAGGGTTGGTAGCTTCATCAGAACCCAGGTTCTTTAAAGGTATTTCTCTTTCTCCAGCATTACCATTTAGTTCACCATATCCTAGGGAGGGGGAAAAAAAGGTTTTTAAAAATTATAATATACAAATTACAGTAGTACTTAACATTTAAGGAATATTTATTTACTGTATGCTAGACACTATGTTGTGAGCTTTAGTTTTATATGTTATTTCACAGGTCTCTGAAAAGACACTTGTCAACCCCATTTTACAGATTAGGAAGTCAACTAAGAGATAGGACTAAGCAGGAATTCAAACCAAAGTCCGAGTTCAGAAAGAACATGACTTCAGCAGTTTTCTACTAATACTTCTCACCTAACATACTCAACCTCCCCATCATTCTCACAAAACTGTTATAAAATTTCCTTTATAATTAAGAGCAGAGCTACCCTTTGGGCAAAATCATTATACTGATACAGCAATTTTAAATATTATAGGGACATTGAAGGCTCTATTTCTATGAAACTATAATTGATTGGTGGTGACCATAAACAGTTTCTATTGCATTCTGTCAAACAAAAATCTAACACCTGTGAACTTTTTTCAAAGTAGTTAAATTCATCTTTACATTCCCCAGATATTAAATCATACTTTTAGTATAAAACCAAAACACTTATATATTTTCTTCATTTTTACATTTGGGTAAACAGTCTCAGATAAATTAAGTAACTTGCCCAAGTCACAAAGTGGAAGAACTGGAAAACTGAATGAACTCCAGTCTATATGGAACATTTCTATCACTATGTCATACTGCCCTACACAAATGAAGCAATAAGAAAATACAATCAAAACTACAATGAAAGATAACTAGTTTTTAAAAGAATGGTATTTGAGTTTAAGACCTCCAACTGCCATAAGCAATTTATTACTATAGGTGATTCAACTGAGTCCAACTTTTCCCATTTCCTTACTAGCAAAATAGTGATATTAGTTGTCTACCTTTCTAAAAAATGTTTCCAAAACATCTTGAGGTCAAGTCATTAGAAACGGATACATAATAGGATACATATATACACATTTAAAGCAACTTTACAGGGGGCAAAGGGTGGGCCTCCAACAGGAATACCAAATAATTTGCCTTTGTCACTTTCATTCATTCTTTTGGGCCTTTAGTCTTTGAAGGCACATGAGCTTTTATATTCCTTAGGTTTTGAAATTTTAATTTCTAATATAATATCAACAGATACAGCCCACATTAAAAGCTCTTTGCATATTTTAAGAGTACAGCCCAGCCAGTGTTGCTCAGTGGATTGAGCATCTTCTCATGCACCAAGAGTTCACAGTTGAATTCGTGGTCAAGGCACATGCCTGGGTTGTAGGCTCCATCCCAAATAGGGAGTGCGTGCGTGCGGGAGGCAGCAGATCAATGTTTCTCATTGATGTTTCTCTCTCCCCCTCTACCCTCCTCTCTCTTAAAAAAAAAAAAAAAAGTAGTGGAACCTCATTTCTTGAATTTAATTCATTCGGAAGGCTGTTCGAGAAGCGATTTGTTTGAAAACCAAATCATTTTTTCCCATTAGAAATAATGTAAATTGAATTAATCTGTTCCAGACCCCCAAATGATTCCATTATTAACCTTTCTTATATACAGTACATGTTTAATGTACTGTTTAATCTATAAACGCTCCTTAAATTTACTGAACCATCCCCTAACTAGCCTTATAAAATGCCATCACCAGTTTATCCAATCAACAAGTTTTTCTACCTACTCAATTGCCTGTAATTGTTTTGTGAGCACTTTCACATCCTTAGCAACATTAGCAGTCTTGATGGCCTTTGTTTTAAAATTGTGCTAATCTGTAGATTCCACCAGCAACAAAAGCATTCTCTCCTTTGTTTGTTGCCTGAGAGACGCTTTTTGTCATGCTGAGGTATCAGCAAGAAAGGGTTGTCCGATAGAAAACTGAAGTTTTGTCCACAACAGGGACATTTTTTTGTGTGACCATTGGTTGAGAACCAAATTGTTCAAGATGGTAGACTTTCAAGAACCACAGTTGGACTATATAAGGAATACTAAGATTAAAAAAAAAATTGGGGAACCATTGTTTTAAAAGAACTTGATTTTTTAATAGGACAGTCTTGGAAGATTCCCAACAGGGCTTACTTTTACATGTTCTACATCAGAGAAAAGGGTGGGAATACTAAAATGAGCACATAAAGGCATTTTCTTCCAAGAAAACATACTTAAGACATAATCATTTCCTAAGAGTGGCACAAAACTTGTACAATGATAATATATTCTATAGAAGTTCTTAACTTCTGGAGTTATATTTTATTTCTTGGCTGCTGAAAAAGCTGTATTATCCAATCAAGTCAAACTTAGTGTAAAAAGTCTAACTATAAAACAGTAAAGAAGAGATCACTACTTAGAATGTTTTTTAAATGTTTTTTTTTGTTTTGTGTTTTAGGAAAGTAGAGTCTCAATATTTTTAACAGATGTAAGTTTAGCTGTCCACAACTCTAGACCAAAGGAGAATTACACATAGCATTTAATATTCTAATAGGCTAACAAAGACTTCTACCCTTGCCCTAACTGTTTGGCTCAGTGGATACAGTGTAGGCCTGTGGACTGAAAGGTCCCAGGTTTGATTCCGGTCAAGGGCATGTACCTTGGTTGCGGGCACATCCCCAGTGGGGGGTGCGCAGGAGGCAGCTGATCGATGTTTCTAACTCTCTATCCCTCTCCTCTCCCTTCCTCTCTGTAAAAAAAAATCAATAAAATATATATATTTTTAAAAGAGTTCTACCCTTGGGCCCATTAATTATAACTTGCTAGATCTCAAAGGTAAGCAGTCTTAAACATCAAAAAAATCCAATGTCCAAACCAAGTTGGACCAAATCCAAGACTTTTAAGCGAACTAGATTACTAATATTTAGTGCCTCTGATATCAGAAATCACCAGTTAAAAGAAGTTACTATGCTTCCACCTCCAAGTTTTAATGACAGAAAATTTTTTTCTCATTTAACTATTTAAAAAATTTCCCGTGTTAACCTTGTTGGTATGCAAAAAGTTTGCCAGAGAGAATTTTTTTTTTTTAATTTAGGTATTTAAAAAAATGTAAACACTAAAATTATTGAGGAAAAACCCCTCTCCTTCTAGTGCTTTTATTATTCAGGGTTGCCATGCTAAAGCATCTAACTCTACTTCAGAGGGACTCAGCAAAACTTGAGTCCTGATAAATCCAGCTTTGGATTGGAAACTGAAATTAGTGGGCACATTTGGCCCTCTTTTGCGCCCTCTTCTGGATAAAGAAAAACCATTCCTCTTTATAGGTCTGTGAGTCATAAAAGCCCATCTCTACACATTGCAGATACAGTTCAAAAATCATAACTTTTCTTATTAGATCAGCATTATGCATGCTGAAGCAACAGTATACTGTGACCAGGCCGTGCATGAAAAACTGCTCCTCCCAAATTGTTCATGTTTAGCTCAGCCTCGTTTCCCCTCCGTATGCCTCCCTGGAAGAAGACACACTAATTTGAAGGGTGCCCGTTTGAATGGTGCAGGGCCTGCTTCTATGGGGAGAGTCCTGCAGGGGTCTATATCTGGCTGACAAAATACTCTTCATAATTCTACCTTCTCTTCCAAGCAACTACAAAAAGGCAAGATTTTATCACCTTTAAGTTGACTGTAACGTTAAAAAAAAAACCTTAGTGTTGTACAGTTTCTTAGTTTCTAAACTGTTTCAAATCCTTAAGATGAAACACATTTTTATGTTCATTTCCACTGCACACCGTCAGTCCCTACCACCCCCCAAAATGGAAAATGACGTCTCCATGTCAGTAAGGGCATGTATCACATTTGACATGCTGGGTTTAACGTTCATTCTCTTTCCGTTCCCTTCATTTCAATGTACAAAGAACCCTTATTTTTAAAAATCTGCGTGGCCATAAACTTTTAAACTTCATCCCTTCTCCAATATTTTCTACAATAACTACTTTTACCCTCAATTTAACGTCTGCTAAAAACGAAGAGTTTGGGGGTCAATATCGGTTTGAACGTAGGAAAACACCTCTCCTTTCGCTGTGGAAAAAAACCTCGTCCGAGGCAATATGGTAGCGAACCCACCTCACGGACGAAAGAAACTTGCCCTCTCCCCCCCCCCCCCCTTACAATCAAACGTTTTCCATTCTCTCTTCAAAAATGCTACCCAAGCCCAAGAGAGAAACGTGGGGAGGAAGACTGATCAAGCAACTTTTATTGTAAAAAAACAAGCTGCGAGAAGGAAAGGTCCCAAGCCGAAGACCTGCCGAAGCCGGAATCCGGAGCGAACCTGGCAGGAGACGAGAATCCAGGGGTAAAGAAACTCGTGAACCAAGGAGCGGGGTCCCCGTGGGG